TTGTTTCTTAAGAAACAATAATTAGTACAATATATAAACTAAAAAAAAAGTGCAGTATACTGTACATATGTATTTACATGCAATATAATGCATACGTAGAGTCGAACTGTAATAATTCTACCTAATAAAACTGAAAAAGGAGAAAAAACAAAACAAAAAGCAGAATAATTTGCCCAGACTAATCTGTGTGGTGAGCTTTCTATGTCGGTACATACAGAACTACTTTATTTTTCTCAACCTCTGCAGAGTAAGGATATATTACAATTAAGTTAAACAACTTCCATTGGGGGACATATGGATTGTTTCCAAAGTTTGTTATAATACATGATGCTGTAGCAAAAAACAAAATGTATGTAACAATATTTTTTAAAATACGCATTATTTTAAATTATTGTACATAACAACTGAACTTCCAAATAGGATTCACTCATTTAGATTATCACAAAAGTTTGGAAATAAATCACATTTTTCATACCTTTATCTACACTTGATTTTTTAAGCTTTTTTTCCTTAGGAATCAAGTTGACAGAATATGATATCCCATGAAATTTTCCCTGTCATTTAACTTGAATTTTTTTTTAACCACAGAAATGGACTATTTTTCATGTTTGTATTTTTGTCTTCTTAGAATTGCCTGTTCATATTTTTTGCCCATTTTTTTGTTAGTTTTAACATATCAATTTGTTTAAACTTTTTATTCCAGATATTATTTCTTTGTTAAATATTTTTGTACAATTTTTCACTTGTCTTTTAACATTTATTATCATGACTTTTGCTGTATAAAAGCTTTTATGTTTTTCTAACTTCAGGTCAGTATTTTTCTTTAGAGATAATAGACTTAGGTCCTGCATAGGAAAATCTTCCCCATTCCAAAATTATAAAAATATTATTATATATTTTCTTTTTATAATTCCAAGGGATCTGTTTTCTTATTTATTTTCACATACAGTTATTCAATCTATCTGATATTATTAATTTTTGGTATGAAGTTAGGATATATATTTATGGTATTCTAAGTGATAGCAAATATCTAGAAGTAATTTATCAAATAGATCATCTTTCCCCCCAGATTTGGAATGCCAACTTTATCTTACATATTTAATTATTTATCATCTTTCTATTCTTACATACATAATATTATATACATAAGAGAAAGAAACAGTATGTATTTTTAGTTTTAATTAGCCTAATTTTTGTTGCATTAAAATCTGAAAAGCAAATTCCTTTTATTTGTTTCTCAAAAATTTTCTTTGCATTTATGATATATTGATTTTTCAGATAATCTTTTTATCAGCTTATCAAAATTTATTAGAAAATCATTTGATTTTAATTGGGATTATATTAAGAGTTTGTAGGATAATTTGAGAACTTATTTAATATATCAAGTATTCTCATTCAGGAACATATCATGTTTCCCCTTTTACTTATTGTTCTTTGACCTCCCAAAGTAAAGATTTATAAGTAATTTAAAACCCTTCTTTATTTTTTATTAGGTTTATTCCTAGGTATTTTACAGCTTTTGCTGTTATTATGCCCATAACCATCTTTCATTTATATTTTTGAACTGGATGTTGCTGTGTTAAAGGAAGACTATTGATTTGTGTATACTGATTTGTGTCCTGTCAAACAAGTAAACCAGGTTATTAGTTTTAAAAGTTTTTGATTTTTTTGAATTTCTGGTGTAGAAAATCACATTGCCTGCAATTCACAGCAATGTCTCAAATCCTTTCCATTATTTATAGTTCATATTTATTTTTTTTACCTGTACTTTAATTAGATCCTCCAGTGCAATACTGAGTAAATGGTAGCAAACACAGCAGTTGAGTTTTATTGTTAATTATAAATCCCTCTAGTATTATTATAGATATTCTTTACCAGTGAGGCAGTTTCTCTTATTTTAGTTTGCCAATGGTTTTTTAAAATATTTTTTAAATCAGTGTTGAATCTTATCAGATGCCTTTTTACATATATGACTATCATTTAATTACAATTTTCAGATTTTTCAAATAGAGCATTACATCAACAGTTTTCCTGATTCGTATCCTCTTGAACAAATTGACTTAATCATGGTGCACTTTAAACATGTAATTCTTGATAATATTTTTTGGATCTTTGTATCTATATTCTTGAATAAAATTTATTTTATTTTTCTATATGTGATTGATTTGCTTTTTTAAGAATAATGATCTTGCCAGTTTCCTAGAATAAATGAAAAATCTCCATTGAAAAATAGATTCATGTCTCCTTTGCTGGTTAACAATTAAGACAGCTTATAAGTTATCTGTTAACAAATAAATTGATAAACCTTGCTAGTGAAATAATTTGAGCCTAGTTTTCTTTTGTGTGTCAAGTCTTTGCCTGCCTTTATTTTTTCATTTTCTAAATGGTTATTGGTCTGTTTAGTTTTTTACCTCTTCTTGAATTAAATTTTATATTTTTTATGGCAATGTTACATTTTATTATGATTTTTAAAAGTATTTATGCATATGGCACAAAATGTTCTGTCACAAATTTTTAAATACATTATATTCCTGTGATTACATTCATTATTTGTTACTAATAATTTTTACTGTTTTCCTCTTTTTTCCCTTTTATCAGACTGAAAAAGACTTGTCTATTTAATGACTCTTTGAAAATACCTAGCCCTTGATTTTTATTTATAAGCCTATATTTTACATGGAACTATAATTGTAAGAGTGTAAAAGTTAATCTTACACCAGAAAATAAAAAGTGGACAAACATTTCATTCTATTAGCTTTCCAATCCCCCTCTTCTCCCTAGTGAAAACTATGATTAACATTTTGGATTGGAGTCTTCTGGAAGTTTCTAAACATTTAATTGCATTTTTAAAATGTGAATGGCTCCATGTTTTATTGTGACTAAATTTTTGTTTAACATAAAATCTCAACTTTCAAGGAAATACAATCATTACAATTAGCAATAATCACTATAATTAATACAACAATCAAATAAAATTTTATGGCCTTATATTAGTAATGGCTTTATCTGTGATCAACTTTATAGACTCCTTGATAATATAGAGAATAATCTATAATCTATTGAAATAAAATTCAAATACACATAGGTCAATGGTAATTTTATTCATTTACTTATGTTTGATGTATGTGCAAACATTTTATAATGAAAATCTTGCTTTTGTAATTATAAAAATATACTTTTGCATTTATACTTCAGCACTTCAAATGTTATTCACTTATTAAGTTATCCAACAAATATTTATTAAGTGCTTACTTTGTTATAGGCATTATTCTAAGAACAGAAGATATATCTAAGGAAATTATAAAAAATACTACTTACATATAGCTAAATAGTCCACACTCTACACACTCTTCATTATTTTTCATATTCAAGTGAAAATGGACTTCATTATTACTAAGCCTACTCCT